GAATGCCCTCAAATCGCTCTCTCTCTCTTTGGTTCGTCCCTAGGGTGTTTGGGATCCAAAACCCAGCTCTCCCTCTCCAAAAATCGCAAAACAGCTTTTATACCCGCTGAAACTCGCACCCCCTACTTGCACGGCCGTGCAAATTGAGGTTTTGGCCGTGCAGACCCCTTGGGAAACCCACACGGCCGTGCAGAATTTCACACGACCGTGCACAATTTCCAGCATGCACTCCTAAGCTTCGTTGATCTCGTTTGAGCTCGTTTGACCTCCGATTCAGTCGCCGTTTGATCCCAGACGCTCGTAGTCTCGTCCTCTTTCTTTTCATAACAAGCTTGCATGATTCTTTGTCCATAAAGTAAGGTAAAAATCCATTATTCTTCAGGTCATGCCCGAGTTTCTTCTCTCGAATCGTGAATTGATCTCTGATTGACTTGAAACTTGCGCCTATGCTTCACTTTATGTGCTAGGACCTGAAATGTGAGAAAGGAACACAACCTAGCATAAAATAGGCCAAAGACACGATAATTCAAGCTGAAACAATCAAGAAACAAAGGGGAAAACATGTGCAAATACCGAGTCATCAGCAGTCTAAGGCGCCGCAGCCTGAGGCGCGGCAATGGGAGGCGCGGCATCGGTAGGCGCCGTCTTGGGAGACCCAGGTTGATTAGAGGAGGCCATGGGTATGGAAGAAAAGGCGAGGAGTAAGAAACGCGGGGAAGGGTAAGGCGCCTAGCACAAGTGGCCGAGAGATGTGGCCGAGGGGTGCGAAGAGCACTGGGGGGCAGAGTAGAGCAAGGTTTAGAGTGAGAAAGTAGAGAGAGGCGAATTTGGCAAAGTGAGGAAGAAAGAGGTGGTGGGGGGCAATTTATAGGCGAAGAAATAAGGGAGAGAGAGCGGGGTTGGAGGAGCCGAACAGTCACCTAGGCTGGAGCGAATTCAAAATTCGACGTTTGAAATCGCTTCAGCCTGGGGGGAGGGGAGAACGGACCGGAGATCGAGGCGGGAGTCCAACGGTCCGCCCACAATCAAGGCGGAAGCCCAACAGTCGGCCTATAATAAATAAAAAAATTTTAATGAAGAAAGAGGGAGAGAAGGGCGCGTTGGTTGGCAGGAGGGGCAAAAATCCAAAAGCGCTCCACGAAAGGGGAGCGTTGGCAAGGCGTGCTCTCCGGAGAAAGCCTGGGAGCCAAGGAGAGCGCATTGGAGCAGGGTGGCGCTGCGGGAGACGCATTGGTTAGTTAGGCCCCCACCGGGTGGTAGGCGCCTAACTGGGGGGCAATTGTTGGGGGCATAGGAGGTAGGGCCCAAATAAGGGGCCAAGGGGTCGCCATGGGCCGGGAGTGCGGGCCTGGCAAGGGGGATGCCCGGCCCAAGAAAGGGGAAGAGGCCAGGGCCCAGGCGGTGGGACCAGGTCTGAGGTAGGGCGCATGACGAAAAAAAGGGAGCAACGGTCAGAAGCGTACGGAGGAGACACGGGGTGGGGCCATGCGCCTCGAGGGCGCAGATCGGTGTCAGAGTGTCGGGGCGCCTGAGGGGAGAAAGGTACAGTGCATTTAATGAGGTGATGACGTAGGGCGGATTTGGGGGGCACTGGTCGACCCCAACCCGAGTATAAATAGTGAAGTGGGTGGAGCTCATTTACTCAGGTTCCAACTTCTCTCTAAAACTTACATCTCACTTCTCTCTCTAGAAAGTTCGTTCTAACTTGGGCGTCGGAGTGCTAACGAGCCCTTGCCAAAGGGTTCGGTGCGCGCTTTCGTGTGCAGGGGGCGAACGTGGAGCGGAGACGCTGAGGAAGCGGGAGGAGCACGTGGATCTTCCGGGGCGTAGGGCGTACGTGGCACAAACAATTTTTAAACAAAATCTACACAAATTTATTTATGAATTTCTTTCAATATGTCTCGTACTATCAAAGTTTAGTAATAGTTACCCTTGTATTAATGTTCATTTTCTTTATATTCTTTTGGGTTTTGTTTAGTTGAGTGTTAACTACCAAATCAAAATTCTGACTCGGAATTGAGCCACGTAAACTTCCAACAAAGGGTGCTCTTGCTGGCTGTATAGGTTAGTGGGGAGAAATTAAAGTTGATTAATCAATATGGAATCAAATCAATTACCAACTGTGAGTCAAAATCACAATTACAGACAGACAGGTTTAGGCCACATCTCAACTCGCTGTTTCAGCCACACAATTAAAATAAGCGACTGACACTTATAAACTACAAAGAGGCAGAGTCATAATTTAATTTAGGTTGAAAGAAAAGTTTAACCTTTGTTTATGAGGGGAATGAGAAGGACTCACATCATCAATTCTCGTTTTCTCTTTTTGTTTCTTATTGCGAGGGACCGGACAACTACTTGGCCAAAGGTAATTAATTTGACTAAAGTTTTGATCCCTGCGCGCACGCTTCTTTGAGTCTACGTAGTGACAGTGTAACCCAGCCAATTATAGGTGCGGTACGGTTAGTCGGCCATTGGTTCAAGTGATAACCGAACCGATAGCGATGGTTGGTGGTTAATCGATCGATAATCTTTTGGTGATCGATTTTGATTAGCTATATTTTGTATAGTGATTAATTGCTAACCGACTCATTGGTTAGTGGTTAACCGATAAAAAAAATTAAATCGATAATTGCCTACTAGTATAACCACATAGTTTTGAGTTTTGGCTAAGGAGAAAAATCTCAAGATTTAAAACCAACCAAGGTCGCAATTCCAAAATCAATTCACATCTATTGCAAACAACCCTCTTCAAAAGTGTCAAATATGTTTAAGAGTATGATTCAACCACTCTCCAACTGTCCTTTGCTAGTGTTTGATGTCTTGTTAGTTGGTACTCGCTAATTGGATGAAGATACTTGATTATTTGTAAATTTATTTGTTGAAATTCGGGCATGTGTTATGAATTCACGATACATGTATTGTTTTGATGTTATTTATTATAATTATCATGTTATGTTAACAATAGCAGTGAAGTTAAATTACGTTGAATTATTTGTATGATTATATTTTATTATTAAAAATGGCACCATACAAAATTCAAAATAACAAAAGTAATATACCTCATATGGATGTTGTATTGGTTAGTGGTTAGCCACCAAACCAACCACACTAACCAATCCGATAAAAAGAGGTTAACCGATAAGTCATATCGATTTGGTTTTTGGTATGTATTTTTTGCTTAGTGGTTAATCATTCACCGCTCAATCAATTAGCGGTTAATCAAAACATAACCGGTTAGCATCCCTAGTTATTTCTCTCCAAATAACTTAGCACCAAAATAACTTGGGGTAAATTGCATGGTTGGTCATAGAGATTACAATAAACGTTCATATTTTGTCACTGGAAATATTTAATTCCATTCGTTGTCACTAACATTAGTTAAATATTTCAAATTTGGTCACTCTCTGTCTAACTCCATGAACTTTGTCGAACATGCCAATCAATTCTTACAGTTGACCGTTAACTGAATGACGTAACAATTAATAAATCAAATCAAATATCTTACAATTTCCAACTCCAACTCATGCTCACACTAACATTCCGTTTGGTAAAAATGAATTCTATAAATTTTAAGGAATTCATTTTGAAATGAGATCTATTTTTGTTTGGTATTTAAAAGAATTCATTTCCAATTCTAAATATTGAATTCTACTGAATTGGAGCTAGTTATAGCAATTCCGAGGAATTGAGGTGTCGTTTGGATGGGTTTTTATGAGTTATTCTGACCCAAATAACTCACAATGAGTTATTAGGCCCAGAATAACCCGTTTGGCAACATAAAAGTGGAATGGATTATTGTAGGGCTGGGTTATTTGAAAATAACGCAAAATGCGTTATTCAAAATAACACCCACCCCTGTTATTTGTAAATAACGCGATTTGCGGCCCACCTATTCCCTTTCTAACCCTGTCACTGTCGTCTCTTTCCTCTGTCCTCTCTTCTTCGCTCCTCTCCCATCTCTCTTCTTCGTTTCTTCCCTTGCAGTCTGCAGAAGAACAAAACTTCACACCACCACCACAAATTCCTCTCGATCTCCTTCTCTATTTACAGATTCTCGACCACAAAAATTTCACTTCTTAATCGAACCTCAAAAATCGAATTCCGCCAGAAAATTTTTCCTGCTACAAACCTCTATCTCCTCCTCTGCTCTCCGCCTCCCAGCTAGGGGTGTACATGGGTCGGGTGATCCGGGTTTAGACATTTTAATCACCCGATCCATGCACTACGGTTTGGAAAATATTAAACCCAAACCCACCCAAAAAATTTCAAACCCTACGGTTTGTTTCTAATTGGGTTGGGTCGGGTTGGCAATATTTTTAAGTAAAAACCCAACCCAACACAAAATATGTAATTATTCTACAACATAAAAATATTTTATAACTAATTAAAAATTCAAACGAATAAACCGAGGTGAAAGGTATTAAAATTCACAAATGTTGTTTGAATTTTAATAAAATTTGATTTACTTCAACTTATATCTAGTTTTTTTCACGACATTTGTTGAAATAGGCTAAAAATGTTATCAATGAACGCATCCATAAAATGTTATTCTATTAAAATTGTACACAAGAAAAAGAATTGTGTGAATCATAGCTATATTAAATTTATGTCTAAACTTTAAACTGAAGAATGCATTAGATTAGGGAGACCACGAGAGAAAAATATGGTGAAATATCTTAATTTCTCATAACTATGGCTATATATGACAAATATTTTTTGGATGCAAACTCATACCAATTATTTGAACACGGGTTGGGTCGGGTTCTACGGGTTGTATAATCTAAAATCCCAACCCAACCCAAAAGGGGCGAGTTGTACAATAGAAAACCCTCACCCAACCCAAAATCTTCGTTTTAGCGATAAATACGGGTGGGTTGGGTCGGGTTGGACGGGTCGGTCGGTTTGCGGGTGTGTTTGTTCACCACTACTCCCAGCTGAGAAATTTTATTTGTATGGACATAGGGAAGAAGAGCAGCAGAACTTGCGGTGTGCGAAAGATGGGTTTCGATTGTTGGAGTCTAGAAAACAAGTTCTGGGTTTTTCGAGTTGTGAAGATCTGGGTTTCCAAGAGAAACTGTTAAGACCTTGGGTTTTTTAGCTGGAGTTCGGCGGAGCTAGAAATCAAGTTCTTGACCCAAATTTGGGTAAACATAGGAGGTTGTCGGAGCTAGAAAACAACGCATGCAGCAGAACTGAAATCTTCCTAATAATTGATTTTTTCTATTTAATTTCTAATTCTCTTCTTCTCTATCCTTCTACTGGAGCTAGAAAACAGGGCATGCAGCTAGAAAACTGAAACCCCTGTTTTTTGTTCGTTTCTTCTTTCTTGCAGATCGCCACGGCGAAGTGCCAAAGACAAGAGATGAGAGCCCGACTGCCTTGTGGCTCTTGGCCGAGAGAGAAAACCAACAAATCAACAGGGGAAAAAGGTTGAATTATGTTTAAAGGGAGAGTGTTTGATCTCTCTCGTTTTCTCTTTTGTTTGGGGTTTCTGTAAAGAGAAGAAACGGGAAAGAAAGAATCAATTTTGAAGAACATGAGATCATTTCTTAATGGCTGAAATCGAATTGGTAGACTAGATTACGAGGATATTATGGTAATTTTGCAGTTTTTGTTAACAAATACCACATAGAAATAACCCATCTATAAGGTCAATCCAAACAATACAATTTCATTCTCAATTTTCTCAAATAACACACAAATACTACATTCCTAAATAATGAGTTATTTTACCTTATAAATACCACATAACCAATTAATCCATCCAAACGACCACTGAGATGGTATTTCCAAATGAATTCCACAAGAATTTACTAATTATAACAAAATTACATAATTATCCTCATTTATTAACTAAACTAATTCTACATGTATTATTTGACGCCAGTTCATGCAGTATGAGGAACGTCGGTAAGAATTTGATTGCAGCGTTTGTAGCATATTCTGGTTATTTAATATTTCTGCTTTGATTATATCAATATGTGGAGAAGCCACAACTAGAGTGCAGGGTTCATTGACAAAATATCGAAAGAACTAATGAATAGAATAGAAACACACAAGAACACTTTGATATTTTACGTATGGGACCAAAAGCATTTTTTAGAAGATGGGTTTTCAATGAATATTGTTTCTAGCGAAAATTAATAAGGGCGTAGTTGAAAACTTTTAATTCTATTCAATTACAAACGTACGACAAACATGGTTTGGGAATTCAATTCATTTTATTTCTTAAGATTTGAATATGACATACCAAACACAAGAATTCATTTGACAATGAATTCTATACGACAATTCATTTTAAAATGAAATGAAATTTAGATTCAGTTGGTACCAAACGGTATGTAAAGTAAAATAAATAAAACAAAAACTTGTGAATCTTGTTCAGAACTAGGTTCTCGTTCTGATGCTTGCCGTCGCCGCGAGAGTGGTGGTGGTCGCGGTTTAAATCCTTGCCACCGACGGCGGTCCCGAGATCGCCCTTGCGTGTTTGAAGGGTTAGATTTAAAGGGGTCACATTTGTTGTGGGGAAAACCAAGGATGGCGACGGGATTGGGAAAATAGGAACCCACCGCCAGTTCTTCAAGATCTTTGCCCTCTGCGCCATCTTATGTTTCTCCGTCGCCTGCGGCAACACCTCCCTCCTCTACCTCCCGGTCTTCTTCAATCAGGCCATCAGAGCAGCGCCGCCGTTCTTCACCGCAATCTTCGCGTTTTTAATCTCACTTGCAAGAAGGAATCAGCGTGGTGCCCACAAAGGCCCTAGTGGTAATGGTCGGGCAGAGCGGTTATGGAGCAGCTGGTGACTCTGATTTGCACTGAAGGAGACTGAGCGAGTCAAGATCTGGAGGCAGAGTAGCAACGCGACTGTGTTGGTGATGGAAGCTTCACTACAAAGGGTGGGGGTTCGGATTTTCACAAACGGGGAAAGGGCCACAACGATGGTGGTGACGAATTGGAGGACCGGAGCTAGGAATTAGAATTGGGAATTCTCATGAGGGTTAGAGCAAAAGTAGATCGGGAAAAGGTTAGAATCGTGAAGACCTAGAAACATTTTTTTGTTTTTCAATTTGTTTTAATTTTATGTATTTATTATTTAATTTCTTTTCTTTTTTTAACAGTTGCAAGAATGATGTGGAAATTTTAAAGTATCAATTTTTTTATTTCCACGTCACATATATAACGATCAACTATGATAGTTGACTGTCATGTAAGCTAAAATTAACGAGAATGGACGGAGAGTGACCATTGATGAAACGAGAGTAGAAAGTTAGTGACCATAAATAGAATTAAATATTTCTATTGACCAAATATGAAAGTATTTTGTTATCTCAATGACCAATATACCCAAATAACTTGATTGTCAATCAAAACATAAAATGCGGTAAATGGTAATTGAGTTATGAGTTACTTGAAATTACTCAAAATGATTTTATAGAAATAACATTCAGACTAGTTATTTGAAATAACTCATTTTGCTAACAATTTTTCTTTCCTTTATGTTATGAAATATAACAATCAAATAACTTAGGAATTTGCTGCGGTGACTTGTAAGTCATTGTGACTTGGACAAAATGATCGACCTTTTCACTGGTATGGTCGACCTATTTGGACAAAACGGTCAACCCCTTCACTGATATGGTCGGCCTATTTGGACAAAATGGTCGACCTCATTGATGGAATGGTAGACCAGATGTACTATTTTCCATTTTGCTATGTTCAACAAACGGTTGACCTCTTCCACTAAAAGGTCGTCCATTATACAAAAAAATGGTCTACCACTTCCATCAAGTGGTCTACCTCTTCCCCCAAGCAGTCCACCACTTTCATTGATTGGCGTAAGTTTCAAGTGAATGGGAGATCAATTGGCGACTCGGGGGAAGAAACTCAGGCATGACCTGAGGAAGAATATATTTACACCTCATTTTATGAACAAAGAATCAAGTAAGCTTATCATAATGAGAATGCGGACAAGACTACAAGCGTCTGAGATCAAACGACGACTAATTCGGAGTTCGGGTGAGGGAGAAACGAGATATTCAAGACAGGAGAACAAGAGAAATGATTTCCACGGGTTAGAAGCCAATTCCACGACCGTGGATTAGGAATTCAGACCGTGAATTTTGAGCAGGAGAAATCCACGGTTTGGTAAACCTATTCCACGACCGTGGAACGTGTAGGTAGTGAGTATAAAGGCCCGGGGCGATGGAAGTCAGTTTGGTGGGATCCTCATTCAGCGACCTCAGCATTTGAGATCTGCGTCTGTTTGGTGGATCCATGAGAGATCCACGTTTGGGCTTAGCGGATCAAAGAGAGTTCCACATTTGGGAAGCAGATCAAAGAGAGTTATGGGACACGAAGTTCGTGGTCCTTGTCTTGAGGGGAGGATTGTTATGGGACAATCCAAGTACCACATCGGTAATACAAGGGAGGGAAGGGACCCTTGTATATAAGTGTCCACCTAGCCCAATTAGTACGAAGCCTTTTGGGGAGGACACACAAGAGTAAAACTGTACGGGCTTGGCCCAATGCAGACAATATTGTACTAATTGAGCTCCCCGATTTCGACAAGTTCTTGTCTGAACAGAAGCGTGCGATTGATAATCCAGATCAAAACGAACGAACACAAATTTAACGTGGTTCACTAACACAATGTGTGCTAGCCAATCCACGGGCAGAGGAGAACAATTTCACTAATTTGAGAAAGAGTACATGTTACCAACTAGATTCCGGAAGGGACAAACCAAACAAACTAACTTGACTGACCTTACTACAATTTAGGGTGGTGAAGAGTATTTATAGAACTCTTCTCATAATCCCAAACAGAAAACCAAACACATTTTCCAAACCTACAAGGAAAAATCCAAAACACAAACCCAAAAAAATAGGCCCAAAACACAAAACAAATGAACACAGCCCAAATCAAATTCATGTCATATTCTAATAATCTCCACCTTGACTTGAATTCTCTCCCAAATACCAGATGCAACCAAAATTGCCAGATGTACCCAGACGCGATACATATCGCCAAAACATAGCCAGATGCGATCGAAACCGCCAAACTCAAACGCCATGCAAATCGCCAAACTCAGATGCAATAAAAACTGCTAGACATATCCAAATGTGATTCATATCGCCAGACTCAAACGCGATGGAAATCGCCAAACTCAAATGCAATAAAAACTGCCAGAAGTACCAAACTCTCCAAATATGCAAATGTAACAGAATCTCCCCTACCTCCAAATGCCCCTAAGGGCGGTTAACAAATCAAAACATGCAACAAGTCCTACTCATGTTGGGACTTGCCATGCAGAACCAGGTTGGTGTTATTTCCGTCCATAACACCAATATCAAATTTACCTCCAACTCCAAACCTGCAGCTCCAAATTGACTTCTCGATCTTCAAATTCATAACAAACATCATTGCTTATCGAAGACCCAATCACCACCAAGAATAACAAATAGAATTCTCTTCATGCTACAAACCATCACTGAACCAGAATTACGAAGCCCAAATAAACAATTCCGAATTGAGAAAGGATTCCCAAATTTCAGATACCACACCAAGCAAATTCAGCAACTAAAAGTAATTTCAATTCAGACAATGGGCTCCCAAATTCCAGTAGCGAACAAATTCGGTTCGGCTGCTCCGTTCACAATTGTTGTTGGATCCAAACTTTAAACCAAAAACACCAAGGGGTCGTTTGGATCAAGGATTGTTTCATGAGGGATTTAGGCCCAAAAACCCACATCCAAATAACTAGATATTTCACTTCCCGGATTTTGGCCAAATCACACGTTTGGTAATTTATGCGGGTTTTCAATTAAAAATGCAAAAAGACATTTTGCCTACTTATTTCTTCTTCGTCTTCTTTGAATAAACCCAGAACCAGTGAAATAGGGTTCATTCTTTCTTCTTCCTTTAGTTTCTCAGCCGTCAAATAGAGACGCAAGCAGCGCCAGCCGTCGCATAGAGGGAGGAAGTGGCTAAGGCGACGACGGTTCCTTCCATCTTATGCACAGTAAATCTGCAATGGACCCATATTCTGTCGACGGATTCTTTTGCTGGGTTTTGGTGGGATATCGGAGGGGGTCCTTCAGTCCGTCGATCTCTTCTTCTTTCTTCTTCAGAGAACCACAAAATTAAGCATTTGTCCCACTGTATCACAGCCCCAAAAACGAATCCACCACAATCAACTGAACTTTGATTTCCGACGGGCATCAATTTGCATTTTGTATCCTCAATTGAGATCCAGAACCCTAGATCTGGAATCGACACAGAAATGTTTGGAGAACAGCCATGGGGAGTCGTCGTTCGTGGCTCCGTCGTTGTTGGTGTCGTGGCCGGAGGTTCTCGAGAAGCCATCGCCTGAACTCCCCCTTCGCCTATGGATGCTTGATGGTTGGATTCATAAACATACGACGACGGCAAGAGAGCTTTGGCACTGAGAGAGAGGTGGTCGATAGCAGGTTTGGGCAATTTCGTGGAGAGAGGGGAACGGCGGTGAGGTTGAGCTGTCAGCGAGGATAGGTGAAGAACAACGAAGAGGATGAAGGACAGAAGAAGGACAAGTTTGGAACAGATAAAAAAATAGTGAGGGATTTTAAAATAGCTGACCCCCATCAGCTATTTTGAAATCCTACACTTGTGGGTTTTCAGAATCACTCATGAGCCGAATCCTACATTTTATAGATCTCTTCCCAAACACAGAATTGTTTAAAATCCTGCACAATGAGAGATTTTAATTAAAATCCTGCATCAGAAACCCTCATCCAAACGACCCCAAATAAAATCGAAATTGAAATTTCAAAACAATCCACGTAGGACAAAGAAACTAGGTGGACAAAATAGTTCCCAATATCCACGTAAAACTCCAATTTAGCTTTCGCCTAATAAATCCCAAAACATAATTCCCCAAAAGCGCCTGACCGACCTTTCTATCCAAAACTGAAACCAAATTGGAGAAAACCTGAAGGGGTTTCTCCGCAAATCCAAATTGAAGATTATCCCGATTCCGCAGCAGTCGCCACAAGGATTCTTGCCCAAATTCCCATGAATTACATCGACAACCAGATTCTGATGCCACTTGTCTGAACATAAGCGTGCGATTGATAATTCATATCAAAACGAACGAACACAGATTTAACGTGGTTCACTAACACAATGTGTGCTAGCTAATCAATGGGCAGAAGAGAACAATTTCACTAATTTGAGAAAGAGTACATGTTACCAACTAGATTCCGGAAGGGACAAACCAAACAAACTAACTTGACTGACCTTACTACAATTTAGGGTGGTGAAGAGTATTTATAGAACTCTTCTCATAATCCCAAACAGAAAACCAAACACATTTTCCAAACCTACAAGGAAAAATCCAAAACACAAACCCAAAAAAATAGGCCCAAAACACAAAACAAATGAACACAGCCCAAATCAAATTCATGTCATATTCTAATAATCTCCACCTTGACTTGAATTCTCTCCCAAATACCAGATGCAACCAAAATTGCCAGATGTACCCAGACGCGATACATATCGCCAAAACATAGCCAGATGCGATCGAAACCGCCAAACTCAAACGCCATGCAAATCGCCAAACTCAGATGCAATAAAAACTGCTAGACATATCCAAATGTGATTCATATCGCCAGACTCAAACGCGATGGAAATCGCCAAACTCAAATGCAATAAAAACTGCCAGAAGTACCAAACTCTCCAAATATGCAAATGTAACAGAATCTCCCCTACCTCCAAATGCCCCTAAGGGCGGTTAACAAATCAAAACATGCAACAAGTCCTACTCATGTTGGGACTTGCCATGCAGAACCAGGTTGGTGTTATTTCCGTCCATAACACCAATATCAAATTTACCTCCAACTCCAAACCTGCAGCTCCAAATTGACTTCTCGATCTTCAAATTCATAACAAACATCATTGCTTATCGAAGACCCAATCACCACCAAGAATAACAAATAGAATTCTCTTCATGCTACAAACCATCACTGAACCAGAATTACGAAGCCCAAATAAACAATTCCGAATTGAGAAAGGATTCCCAAATTTCAGATACCACACCAAGCAAATTCAGCAACTAAAAGTAATTTCAATTCAGACAATGGGCTCCCAAATTCCAGTAGCGAACAAATTCGGTTCGGCTGCTCCGTTCACAATTGTTGTTGGATCCAAACTTTAAACCAAAAACACCAAGGGGTCGTTTGGATCAAGGATTGTTTCATGAGGGATTTAGGCCCAAAAACCCACATCCAAATAACTAGATATTTCACTTCCCGGATTTTGGCCAAATCACACGTTTGGTAATTTATGCGGGTTTTCAATTAAAAATGCAAAAAGACATTTTGCCTACTTATTTCTTCTTCGTCTTCTTTGAATAAACCCAGAACCAGTGAAATAGGGTTCATTCTTTCTTCTTCCTTTAGTTTCTCAGCCGTCAAATAGAGACGCAAGCAGCGCCAGCCGTCGCATAGAGGGAGGAAGTGGCTAAGGCGACGACGGTTCCTTCCATCTTATGCACAGTAAATCTGCAATGGACCCATATTCTGTCGACGGATTCTTTTGCTGGGTTTTGGTGGGATATCGGAGGGGGTCCTTCAGTCCGTCGATCTCTTCTTCTTTCTTCTTCAGAGAACCACAAAATTAAGCATTTGTCCCACTGTATCACAGCCCCAAAAACGAATCCACCACAATCAACTGAACTTTGATTTCCGACGGGCATCAATTTGCATTTTGTATCCTCAATTGAGATCCAGAACCCTAGATCTGGAATCGACACAGAAATGTTTGGAGAACAGCCATGGGGAGTCGTCGTTCGTGGCTCCGTCGTTGTTGGTGTCGTGGCCGGAGGTTCTCGAGAAGCCATCGCCTGAACTCCCCCTTCGCCTATGGATGCTTGATGGTTGGATTCATAAACATACGACGACGGCAAGAGAGCTTTGGCACTGAGAGAGAGGTGGTCGATAGCAGGTTTGGGCAATTTCGTGGAGAGAGGGGAACGGCGGTGAGGTTGAGCTGTCAGCGAGGATAGGTGAAGAACAACGAAGAGGATGAAGGACAGAAGAAGGACAAGTTTGGAACAGATAAAAAAATAGTGAGGGATTTTAAAATAGCTGACCCCCATCAGCTATTTTGAAATCCTACACTTGTGGGTTTTCAGAATCACTCATGAGCCGAATCCTACATTTTATAGATCTCTTCCCAAACACAGAATTGTTTAAAATCCTGCACAATGAGAGATTTTAATTAAAATCCTGCATCAGAAACCCTCATCCAAACGACCCCAAATAAAATCGAAATTGAAATTTCAAAACAATCCACGTAGGACAAAGAAACTAGGTGGACAAAATAGTTCCCAATATCCACGTAAAACTCCAATTTAGCTTTCGCCTAATAAATCCCAAAACATAATTCCCCAAAAGCGCCTGACCGACCTTTCTATCCAAAACTGAAACCAAATTGGAGAAAACCTGAAGGGGTTTCTCCGCAAATCCAAATTGAAGATTATCCCGATTCCGCAGCAGTCGCCACAAGGATTCTTGCCCAAATTCCCATGAATTACATCGACAACCAGATTCTGATGCCACTTGTCTGAACATAAGCGTGCGATTGATAATTCATATCAAAACGAACGAACACAGATTTAACGTGGTTCACTAACACAATGTGTGCTAGCTAATCAATGGGCAGAAGAGAACAATTTCACTAATTTGAGGAGAGTACAGGTTACAAACCAGATTCCGGAATGGACAAACCAAACAAACTAACCTGACCGACCTTACTACAGATTAGGGTGGTGAAGAGTATCGATAGAACTCTTCTCATAATCCCAAACAGAAAACCAAACACCTTTTCCAAGCCTACAAGGAAAAAGCCAAAACAAAGTCAAAACACAAACCCAAACAAAATAGGCCCAAAACACAAAACAAATGAAGAAAACCCAAATCAAATTCAAGTCATATTCTAACAGCCCGTTTTATGCATTTTTGGAGGGATGTAGCTGGATTTTGGATCCCAAACACCGAAGGGACGAACCCTTGAGAGAGAGCGGCTTGAGAATATTATTGGAGCTACTTTGGAGGATTTCTTCACCATTGAAGCTCGTCAATTGAGCTTGGAGATGGAGATTGAATATCTAGATCAGATCTATGCATTATCTCTCTTCCCAATTGAGTAACTTCCCTTCACTTAGATTTTGAGAAACTCTAATTCCATGTGTTAGGATCTTTCTTGTATGAACCTTTGGATACTATACTGTTTGATTATAAATTATAATAGATTGAGACATGATTTATTGAGTCAATTGAATCCTGATCAAATTCTCTTGATTTCTGCTCTAACCTTTGATAGATATAATCTGGTTTAAGAGGGCTTCATTGATATAATCAGACGTAGAGGTGGCAATTGGATCGGATTCGTGGATTCGTGGATCCATGGATCAAATGGATTGGATCCAATGGATTGGTGGATTCATGGATTGGATCAAGTGGATTGGTGGATTGATCCATGAATCCAAATGACATCCAAGGCTTGGACCAAAATGTAATTTTTGAAAAGTTTAGGTACTAAAATGTCATGATGAAAAATTTTAGGTACCAAAATGTAATTTTCCAATGTTATTTTCGTATAAAAATATAAATTTTAGGTACCAAAATGTAAAATATAAAAAATATAGGTACCAAATCGTAATTTGTCATTTGGATCCATGGATTGATCCATGAATCCACCAATCCAATTGGATTTGGATCAAATGGATTGGATTTAAATGGATTGGATTAGGTGGATAATTTGGTGGATGGATTGGATTGGATTCATGGATTTGGATCCTAATTGCCACCTCTAATCAGACGCCATAACAAAAATGTCACAAACTCATATAGTTCAGGATAGAAATTGAATATTCAATAAAATAAGATACAAGTGTCATTTTTTGAATAGTTCGGTTGTTGTAGTGGTATTTGTCCTAATGAATAAAACATAAATATATGCAACTAATATAATAATCTTACCGTCAATAGAACTATTCACCTAACAAAAAATATGTTAATGGTATGGGTTTAATGAATTTTTGTGTTTGTGTGAATTGACTTAGTCTCTTAGCAATTATCATAGGCTGAAAAAGACCTTTCTTTCAAGTTTTCATCCTACATAATGTATAAGTTTTCATCTAAATTAGACGTCTATATGTTGTGGTCACTCTACAAATACAAATATACGGAATAAGAACAATATTGAGCTTTATTTTTATGAGTCTAAGAAGGATAAACATTTGACTCTTGAGTGGTTAATTACTTAACTCATTATTTTTTTTATTTAGATATATGTCTAATTACTTAACTGGTTAATTTGGTTTAATTGGTTAAGAGTATCTGAAACCAAATCAAACTATCTACACCAAACAAGTTAAAAAATTTAACCAAACCAAACAAAATTAATTATTTAAATTAACCAAACCAAATTATCTAAATACTACCGATTAAAATGGTTATGAGAGCATTCAACACTCATAAGATTTGGGGCCCAATCGGGAATTGTTTTCCTTTTCATCCTTTGGACTTCTCTATCCGCGACGGTTGCAATAGGGCTTGGGACCCAAAAGGCTAAAGGCTTTCTACCTATACAATTTATTTCAGAAGAGAGAAGGAGATCGAAAAGGCGTGAAACGATGGGGTGCAGAAGAAATGTTAGCGACTAAATTTAAAACTGGAAAAAGAGAGAAAGAGAGAAAATTTAGCTTCGAACTTTTTAGATTAGAAGAGCAGACAAATAACGTTGAACTCGTTCAAATTAAGTAAATACCATATAGGGAAAGAATCCCTAATTACCATTAGTTAACTACATTTCCACTTCTATCTCCATCGTTAACCAACGCTCCCGAGGTACTTAAGCTCAAACAACAAAACAAAGACACATACCCAAGCAACACAAACCACACACACGACTCAATGAAGAAGTATGTTTCAGCGACCAACTTCCGCCATTAGAATCATCATGATCTTCAACTCAATCATCCAACCAAGTTCTGTTGTTAAAAAATCGTTTCTTTCCATAAAGAAGAATAAGTAAACATACCGCCTTTCAGTTTCTTAAACAAAAAAAAAAAAAAAAACACCACAAGAAAAAAGAAAAAATCAAGAACATATGGGGGAAGAGGGGTATGAAGAAGGAGTGAATTTGGAGTTCACTCCGACATGGATCGTGGCCGGAATCTGCAGCGTCATCGTCGGGGTATCTCTCGGAGTGGAACGGCTTCTCCATTTCACCGGCACATACTTCAAGCGCAAGAAACAGAAGCCTCTCCACGAAGCCCTTCAAAAAGTGAAAGAAGGTAAATGTAGGCAATAACAACAATGGAATTTTTGAACCAACATTCAACTAGCAAGTTAAATGTATCTTCTCTGTCAAGTCAATTTATCTTTGTTCATGCAGTAATTTATACGTTCCCTTTTTTCTGGTTTGGTTGCTGGGCCGGGGCAGAGCTGATGCTGATGGGTTTCATATCGCTGCTGCTGACGGTGTCTCAGAACTTGGTGGTTCGGTTCTGCGTTAAGGAGGATTTGTTAACCACAATGCTTCCTTGCCCCCTCGATCTGGAGCAACAAGGTGGAAGATTACCACCACATCATGGTGAAACAGCAGAGCACTCAAAGATGGAGGCCTTTCCAACCAAGGCTATGGTCAGGGGACTCGCCCGACGACTTCTAGCTGAAGCAGCAGAATCCGAGTCTGTCTCCAAAACTGGATACTGTGCTAGAAAGGTAATTCGTTGAGAGGAAGTACTGACATTGCAAAGAATAGGAACATCTGATTCCTGACCATTAATTTTGTTGTCTTGATGGTTTCCAGGGGAAGGTGCCAATGTTATCACTAGAGGCCATACATCATCTGCATATCTTCATCTTCGTGCTAGCAATTGTTCATGTCACTTTCTGCGCTCTCACTGTCATGTTTGGAGGGGCAAGGGTAAGCACCTAATTTAATCAACCATTTCTTTTTTCTCAGAAAAATTAATTTACCACATACTTTTTCGGAGGGAAATCATGGGTTTTTCATTTTTACCTCTATCATGGGCTAGATTCGTCAGTGGCATCAATGGGAAATCAAGATCGAGAAAGACCATTACGATGCAGAACAAGGTAAGACATATTATTATGAAAATGTTATTCATCCATGTACTTGTAATAATGGAGATAATCTCTAACGGGGTGAAATGTGGTAGTGCAGCACTGCAAAAGAAGTTCACCCATGTACGAGAACATTCCTTTATCAGGGACAACTTCTTGGGCATCGGTAAAGATTCGGAAGCATTGACCTGGGTGGTAAGTTGACGATACTATTTGGATCTCTCTAAACAACTCGAGTTATCTTGACAAGCTAGTTATTGAATACATTCTGTGCCTTTCCATGATGCAGCATGCCTTTCTGAAGCAATTCTATGCATCTGTTACCAGGACCGACTACCTAACTTTACGGCTGGGTTTCATCATGGTATAACATTACGTCTTTCGATTTCCAGAAACCTCGAATTGGGGCTTGTTGGTTTCCCTCCATTTCTCTTATTTCTTGTTGTCTGCGGATGAATTCAGACGCACTGCAGAGGGAACCCTAAGTTTAATTTTCACCGGTATATGATGCGTGCACTTGAAGATGACTTCAAGAGAGTTGTTGGAATAAGGCAGGTGATCTAAGGGTACCCATATATGATCAAGATTTGAGCATTCTTATTGCCTTGCTTTGTACGCTACATGAACTTATATTGTTCTTAATTAACATGTTTTGTGTTCTTTGGTGTACCAAACTTCTTTTGTTTGCAGCTGGTATCTCTGGATCTTTGTGGTGTTCTTCTTGTTGCTGAATGTCAATGGTACGATTCACACCAGCTCATCGGCTAGTGAACATTTCTTGCTTGAATGTTCTTATGATATTGTTTATGTTTGCTTGCTGGTACTCTAGTGGAACATAACTCTGTAAGTGTTCTATGTTTGTCATTTGACTTCATTCCAGGGTGGCATGCATACTTCTGGATAGCATTCATTCCTTTCATTGTGAGTATACTAAACTACTTTCTGCATGCTGAACTCAGTACTATTTGCTTCAGTTGGTAATTTCTCAAACTGGCCTTCTGTCGGTTGAATCCGAAATCCATTTGTAGAATACTTAATAAATCATTCGCCATCTTCAAAGTGCAAAAATATTCCTTCCCTGTTTCAAGTGATACTTGACAACCAGTTTTGCAGCTTTTACTCGCCTTGGGGACCAAATTGGAGCATGTCATCTCCCAGTTGGCGCATGAGGTTGCTGAGAAGCACATAGCCATTGAAGGGGCCTTGGTCGTTCAACCATCAGACCATCATTTCTGGTTCAACAAGCCGGATATAGTCCTTTACTTGATTCACTTCATCTTGTTTCAGAACTCTTTTGAGATTGCGTTCTTCTTCTGGATATGGGTAATGCTAAAAGTTTTATATAGCCTCTTTTCTCCTGGCTTTTAAGTTTCCTGTATAATGACCATTCATAGTCACATTTAACATCTGTACATTTGCGGACAGATTCAATATGGCTTCAACTCCTGCATCATGGGGCAAGTTAGATACATTGTCCCAAGGGTACTAATAGGGTACATTTCTATGAACCCTCTTTTCTCCTTAAAACCAACTTCCAAATTCCAATTACATATGACAACATTTACAAATTTCATTCACCTTTTCTACCCCATTTAGGATATTCATCCAAGTTCTCTGCAGTTACAGCACCCTGCCACTATATGCCATTGTCACGCAGGTACTACTCTACAAAAAGAAGCGACTCTTATTTAGTCTAATCGAATGCTAATGCCGAATCATAATCTCACTCTTCTTTTCTTTGTTGTTGTGACAAAATGAAGATGGGGACGACGTTCAAGAAGGCAATATTCGACGAGCATATACAGGCTAGCCTCGTCGATTGGGCTGCCAGGGTGAAGAGAAAGAAAGAGAAGCAGGCAATGGAAGATCAAGCACCTGCCGACGAAGGAGGAAGTACTCCTCCTAATTCCAAGCTAAGCAAGCTGAAAGGGCTGCTGTCGCCCCATGAAGTGTGCTCCAAAGGAGCAGCAACTCCACCTGGCCATGATAGACCTGAGAATAGTGCAGCTGCAGGTGAGACATCTGCTGCTGCTGCTGCTGCTTTTGAAGAGATTCAGCTTTCACCTAGTGATGGGATAAAGAAGTAGATTTGCGACATAGCTAGATAGACAATAGATTTTGTTATTTTTCAGTTGGAGAGTGAATGGCAATTTTGGAGCATCATGTATGATGTAAAGCAGGATCTGCGATTGTTGGATATAAACAGGACAAACATGGAGTCATAATAAGCACAGGTTTATTCACTCATAAACTCAACTGTCAGAAAACCATTATTACATATAAGCAAATCTTAGGGTAGGTTTCTGAATTTGTCGACCATCTTCATCTTGGAGAAATCGAATTTCTTGAGCAAGTCCTGCTGCTGAATTTGGTCGCTGGTGGGGAGACCCATCTGCTTCTGGCGCTGGTCGAACATCATCTTCTCCACCGTCGATCTCATCTCCGGATCCAGATCGCTCAGCTTGCTGGGCTCCGGCTCCACCTTCTGCGTGTCAATCTCCGGCCCTCCCTTCACCAGCGACCTCCACCAATTCATCTCGTCCGATTTCGTCAGCAGGACGGAGATGGTCTTCTGGTCCTCCAATTGCCAGAAAGATTCGCCCACTTTCACCGGACCGAAGAGTTCGCCATCGATAATCATCGGCTGCTGATCACCTGCGCCCTTGAGCCCTAGCTTCAGAGACGTCTTCTTGATCTCGCACGATATCTGCCTCGATTTCGTCCCGGGAGGGACTGGAACGGTGATCGCTACCTCTTGGAGGCTCTGCCCCCACGAATACTTGTCCAAATCGAGCCCATTGCCAGAGTTTGGAAGCAGGGCAGTGGGTTTCTCCTCCGCCGCCTGATTCTTCTTCTCTTGCGGGAGATTGCTTGGAGGAGGAGAATTCTGGGTTTTCTCAGGCTGCGTTTCTTCGAGGATCGCCATGGCTGCTGGAGCTAGAATTGTTTTGTTCAGGTTTTTTGGTGTGGATTCTGTTGGTGAGCGATCGGAGGTGGGAGGTCCCGTTTTTATAGAGAAGATTTGGAGCGAATTAAGGCCTGAATATGGCAGTTTCCGAACTTGATTCGGAGAAGAATTCCGCGTACAATACGGTTGGATTTTTGTACACTATGTGAAGAATTCCTCCGTTGCATTGGCATTTGGATGGGTGACTCGGAGAAGGATTCCTTCAGTTCTTCTCCCTACAGGCCACAGGGGTCCGACCGGTCCGGGCGATCGCATTTTGCACATCGTCGGCAAGCACTTTCCCGGTAATCAATCAATCTGCCCTGGATTATATTCCGATTTGTTGATTCGTGGCTTCAATTTCAGTTTGTTAATTCGATTTCCCGTCGCTTGGTTCAAGATGTGATTAGTCCTTTGTCACTCGTGAGTCGTGATTAATTCTAGCGATGAACCCATCATGCATAATGCACCTTCCGCTTTCATCTTCCGCTAAAAATTAGTTAAATATGCCAAATTTAGTCACTCTCCGTTAACTTTCATTAGTCTCCATTAACACCGTCAATTTTCTGCTGTCGTGACTAACAGAAGTGCCTAATCAGCCAGATTTAACAAAAAAAAAAAAACGACCCACTACATAATACTCACACCGTGAACCAAACCTTCTTGCCCCCGCTTGAACTTGAGCAATATATACTATTCTCTCTCCACCCCTCCTCTTTTGCTCATCGAGATGGCTAGCCAAACAGGAAACTCTCCACCCCCGCCAGCAGAACCATCTCTCTTCATCTTGCCCACGACGCCAGAAAGCATGGACTGAATACAAACCGCAATCGATCCCTCCTTCCCCAATCTCGAATTTAGTTGATCTGCCTCTAGCGGCGGTGCATTCTCTACCACTAGCTTTCACAGTTCACTTCTTTGTCACATAAGAGAACACCCTCTTTATCGCGTCGTCGTTGCTGCTGCTTCAGGATTCGTGGTGACGAAAACAGCGGTTCTAGTTGGTGCTCGGCAGGCGAGAAACTGCATCTGGGTCGCAGACGCTGAACAGTGTGTGTTCTCAGCGGCGACATCATCGGCTCTGGATGGTTAAATTCAGACCAAGGACGGAGGTTCTGCTAGAGTCACAGACTGAGAGGACAGAGCAGGGGTGGGCAACCGGTTCGGTAAATTCGAACCGAACTAAACCGAACCAAAACCGAAATAATGCTATTCGGTTCGGAATTCGAAAGGAAAATATGGATATTTCGGAAATCAGGGTTCTTTCGACCGAACCGAAATTCTGAAATTCCGACTGAAAAACCGAAATACTATAATTGCAAGCTCCAAATGGTGGATTTTAATGTTTGTAGTTGTTTTTATACTTAAATAATTTAAATATCTTATGACTTATGTGTTGAAAAGTTTGATTTTATTGTTGATTATGGATATAATTTCATATTTATTGTTTATATTAGGGTGACGCCCTCTTCCGGTCTTCGAGACCGCGAATCGGGTCCCGAATCTGTTGCATAACTTGTGCTATGGATCTACAATTGCTTCATAACCTTTCGAGTAATCAGACCCCAGGAGATTCACCTAATCATTTCAACATAATCCTTAGAAGCACTCATATCTTCGATCGGAATTCCATCGCTATCCTTAGCTTAAAAACCTACCGGAATTGTTCTTTACTTCTTTTTACTTTTGTAAAAAAGTCTATTCAAGCCTGTCTGTCACTAAGAACTGGCAACCAAACTGAGGGACGAAAGTAAGGAAAGAATAAGAAGTGCTCGATGAAAGATCATTATCTATATAATTCTAAGTGAGTCGAAAGAGTGAAGATTCTTGTTCCCGGTTACTCTTTGAGCTTGAATTTCGTATAGAAAGGTCCGCTATTTGTTTGAGTGGGATCATTATTCTTAAATAAATCCTCCCGCTTATATGTAGCAAATCTATCTTTTATTTCATTGCAAACCACAACTTGATTACAGACTCTTTGGCCTCAAGGGCCGACTCGACATCAGAAATGAAAAAAGAAAGTGGGGGACACATGACAACATTATTAGGGCTAGACTTCAGACCATGACTTAGATTAGAGACTAACAGAAATTCTTTAATTTAAAAACACATAAGATACTTGGGATGGGAATGGCTCAGCCCACATGCATCATTTGATGAAAGCACTCCAGTCCAGTCGCCTCCTCGAAGTGGCTTGTCAACCACGCTTTCCCTCCCTCAAAATAATGCTCCTCACCAAATGCCCTTCCTGGAGTTGGGGCAAGACAACAATGAGTAGTTCGCTCCAGGACTCCACTCCCTCGGTCAGAGGAATGATAAAGTCTGACGAACCTTATCTTGTATTGCTTCTGAGGTCTGCCTTCCTTGATTGAGCCCTCAAACTGGCACCGGTGGTTGCATATATAAGAAAAGGGTATATCTCATTTTCACTCAATCTTTTCTACGGACGGAAGTCAATGCAAAATAAGCGGCTTCATCCACATTGAGGGCCGACTTGGTGAAAGGCTTGATGCTATCGTATATAAGGAATCGCCTAGCCAACGCTCTACTTACCAACTGCCCTTCATTCTATTAGGGAGCTGGACTACATATATATGTAAGACGATCGGACTACAGATTACGTGCTAAACGGATTAATGATACGATTATCATCAAATCAAAGGTGGAAGGAGATTCTCACTTCTTTTGCGAAAGACCATTCCCTTCAAGCACATAAGCTCGCTCTACTACTTCGAATACGAGAAAGAGAATATAAGACAAAGAGATTCTTTACGGATTGGAATGCTAACGATTGATTCCCTTTTGGGCTCTTACACAGAAATTAAATACTTCAAAGAGAAAGAGAGCAACTCCAGATTATTCGGCTGTTCCAGGAGCTGCAGAAAGGGATGCTTTAGCTGTTTTCTTTTGGTACTAAAAAGGTGGGGGACAGGAAATAAGAATGATATGACTAAAAACTCATTACCAAATTAGAAGGCCCTAAATAAATACGCGAAAGCAATTGCTAATCGTATTTCTAGTCTTTTGGAGGAGAATGCTTCATCGCTGACGAGCTATGTGACTAGAAGAGATTCCAAAGCATAGTATATGGACTTATAATTAGCATTCTGACTCAACGTACCTGCTCGTCTCACTTCCACCTTCGCATGCTTCTAAGATTTCGCATAAAAAGACTAAAAAACATCCTCTTACTGGGCAAGTAGTCGCGTTAGCCTACTAAGAGCCCTAAGGAGAAATCTTGGTAGTTCTTTTTTCACATCAAGGTGACAGGATGTGAACCTCTATACGAAATTCGTGAATTCATAATAAGGAGACAATATTAGTCGGAATAAGACAGAAAGAAGGGAGATATAGAATATTGTTCAATTTAATACTTCTGTGATCTTGTGAAAGATAGATCCTCGTGAAAAATAATTTAAAAGTGAGAAGATACAAGTAGCCTCTCAAATTCGGTTTTGTGTGCAAAACCGAACCGAATTATAATTCGGTTCGAATTCGGTTTGAGGTTTGGGATAATTCGGGGACCCGGTATTCATAATTTCGGTTCGGTTTAACCGAATGCCCACCCCTAGGACTGAGACAGAAGGTAAAAGAGGGGTTTTGGGGATTTGGGGAACAGTTTTCAGATTTGACCTCCTATAGATCTGGCGGTGATGGAAGGATTTGGGGATTTTTTGTTTCTAGGTTTGATCGTTGGTTTAGGGGTTTTCAGGGTTCCGTTGGCAGCCTCCCGGATGGCGGAAGTGGCAATTCATCGAGTTCGGCGAGGTGGATCTCGTGGGCGCAGAGGATTTTGGAGAATTGGCGGAGGCATTAGAGAGCTCAGAGCCAAAGGCTATCGGAGTGGGGAGTGGCTATCGACGGGTGGTGGAATTGGTCGATAGCTGGTTATGGGTTGGGTTACAGGTTGGGGAAACTGATTTGGCGGGCTTAAATGATGTGGCGGGTCGCATTTATTTTATTTTGGGTTAAATCTGGCTGATTATGCACTTTTGGTAGCCAGATCAGCAAAAAACTGACCATGTAACAGAGACTAACGTAAGTTAACAGAAAGTGACCAAACTTGACATATTTAACTAATCTTAGTGACCACGAATGAAATTAAATATTTTAGTGACCAAATTTTTTTTTCCAGTGACCAACTTTGCCATTTAACCAATATTAAACTAACACAATATAAAAACCTTCACTTCCATCAATACATGTACTTTTTGCCCCAAGTTTTCCTAAAGTTTTGAATTTTGTATATTTTCCTCATACATCTGCAGTTCATTTATCTTATACATAATCATGTTAAATGTTCTAGCTCTAAATTTTATGACTTTCACTTAACCATATTCATTTTAAGTTGAATGTGGTTTGGATTTGCAAAGAGGGTATTTTCGAAAATTGTGGGAATGGAGATAATAAGAAACTTCCACCTATACGGGAGGATATGGATTTGCATATTCAAAATCTGAACTGCTATTTATAGCCCTAACTTTTTTTTATTTGTAGCCCTAGGAGAATGTAATTACTAATATACCAATACTACTACAAATATCTCCTACTAGTCATGATGACCCCCAAGTGCGAAGTAAAGATCTCGCTCGTCCTTGAACAATTGCTCCCACCCTTGAGTACTCATTTTGTCACGGAAATGGGTCCACAGGAAGGTGAATGGAGGCATTGGTATTGAATCCTCCTCAAAATCAAGGCGCACCCAATGGTTGCCGGTGTTACACAACACCAACACATTGCTAGGGCGAGCTACCCCTAGCTTGGCTATCATAGGTAAAAAGGTTTGTCCAAATGGAACACGTCTCCTCACCCCATCTTTGGTTTCGTCTATTTGACTGTAGAGGATTATGGCCCAGTTAAATAATGTTGCAACTACGACGAGATCCGACTCAGTCATCCAATGATCCATTGTAGTACCCTCTGGCTTGTTCCACTGTAATCGTGTAAGAGCAAGACCAACATCTTCATATGCGTACTCACATTGTTGGATCGACATGACTTCATCTATAATAGCCTTTCTCACCCACAAGTGGTGATCCTCATCTCCATGAAGTGCATGTGAAAGAGCTCGAAATCCGCAATGTCCATCAGGAGCAGGGTCCCACCAACCAAGACATCGATCTCTGACACTTTCTGGGATGAAGCGAAAGTAAGGAAAAACATTCACTCCATCAATCTTGTGCATGGGATCCCTTTTCAGGCCACCTGTGGATGTAGTTTTTTTAGTTATCTTATTGGCATATTAAACATACTTATTGAATATCAATGAATTTAACAAAACAACTCAAATTATTCAATACAAATCTGTAACATCTGAGGTTGTTGCTTTTCTCTTTTTGTGGATGGTAGCATCCTTCGGGGCACCTGTTAGTGAAAATTTTGTTGTAATTAGCTTATTGGCATATTAAACATACTTATTGAATATCAATGAATTTAACAAAACAACTCAAATTATTCAATACAAACCTGTATCATCTGAGGTTGTTGCTTTTCTCTTCATGCCAAGAAGGATCACGAGCGTTTTCCCTTTTAGGTGGCCGACCTTTTGCCTTCGTAGACACTCGTGGCTCCCTAAGGCCTTCCTCTTCGGGGTAAAGCTGACTCATTAATGCGACCTTGGCTGCTCGAACTGCAGATGGACCACGTCTACACACCTCAGCCACTAGATCATGAAAAATCTGAAGATCATTGGCGTCATTGTCTTCGAACCGTCTTGCATCATGAGGATTAGCATAGTCCAAAGTAGACCAGAATGGTGCCAAGTGTGTTATCTGAAAATGGTCTCCCGCTCTTTTAAAGGAGTTGATTCGACAACTGCATGGGAGCCCATGTGTCCTCCCAATCACACAATAACATTTCGACGGAGTCTTCTTTCCCTCTACAAACATCAACTCAAGCGCATATAGGCTTACACTTCCCCTTATAACGCCGTAGGGTGGTCCATAGGCTCCTTTGAAAGTCTTTGTTCGACATGTCTCTAGCTCTTTCCTAATTTCTATCACTTGCCTCCCAATGCTAGCATGCCATGATAAAAATAATGTATCAATTCCCCCAGTCGAAGTGTTTAGCCAAGCTTTGAGAGTCGAGTGAGCCGATTCAACCCTATTCGTACTTGTGGTACCAATATGAAAAATATTGTTAGTGTAAGCACAAGCCCACTTCTCTTTATGCTCCAAGCACTCACGATCCAAGTATTCTATCAACTTACTATTCCTCCCCCAAAATCCATTTTTGAAATTTTCCCATTCCTCAATCATAGCATGTGGCGTGGTGGCTTCCATCACCTTCTTCCAAGAACCATGTACCACTCCTCGAGCAACTTCTTGTGGTATCCCCAAATCCATCATATTAGCTTCAATGTTCCGCTTTATGTGCCATATACACAACAAGTGAGCCGATTTCGTGAAGACTTGAGGGATAGCGGCAACCAATCCTCCCTCCTTGTCAGTTAGAATTGCATTCGGTATGCGATCTCCAAGCATGTTCTGTAACTCTCTCAAAAGCCAAACATAAGAATATGTGGTTCCCCCTCCATCATAGCAAATCCAATGTTGAAGTTCCTCTTGACGGGGGTAACACCAATAACCTCAACCAGGGGCCTCTTATATTTGTTCGTCTTGTATGTGGAACCAATCAAGATTACATGGTACCAAGCACTCAACATCCGAACAGACTCAGGGTGAGCAAGAAAAAGGTGAGTAAGGTGGCGATCATCATCACGCTTGTAGCCAATGTAGTACCCCATCTCTCTCGCATGGTGTAACGTCCAATCCGAAGGGGTCATGCCACTCAATCTCTCAATCCTTATATTTGCTGTCATGTTGTAAAATTGTCGTTTGTTATGGTGAGTACCATACTTTTGGTTGATAGTTTGCATCATTTTTCGAGGAGGAACACGAGCCCATTCCATCTCCTTCATATCCTTTAGCTCTTCATCAGTAAAAGCATTCCTCTGAGTGTGGCCTTCGGGATAAAGCTCTAATGCATGGTTGTGAAACCTACAAAATTGTCCCGGATTGTGATTGTCCTTCACACCATCAATCATCCAAGTCTTATCCTCCGGGAGTCCCACCAATCTCACTCGAAAACGACAACCATCTTTAAGTGACTTTGTGTTGGATCGTCATTTCTTATCCGGATCCGGGACATATGTATTGTTCTTAGTGAAGATATATTCGGGGGTACTTCTCGCCATCATTTGATTTGGTTGATGAATGTGTCAAAAAGAACCCATGATCTTTTGCAATCACTTTCGCAGCTTCCATAGCTTCATTCCATGACTTATATCTTGTATTTGTTATGAAAAATTGAGTATAATCAACTTTGTCTCCCTTATCTTTCATATCTCCCTAAAATAAACACATTTATCTTATTAGTGATACTAATTTTGAAATGTTTGTTGTAGATTAAATTATTCCAATTTGATATAGATTGATGTCTTACATAAGTTTCAACACTTTTCATGACTTGTAATGTTTGTTGTAAATTGAATTCTTACAATTTGAAATGGATTGAGTCTTATGTAAGTTTTAGAAAATTTGATGGCTTGTTTGCAATATTAGATTTTATATTTATCTTCTTATTAAAAAAATATTAAACACTTTATCAACAATTATTCAATATTCAAACATAAACTAATCCAATACATTTTCAACAAAAATTAGCACATTTAGCATGACTAACTACCAAATCCTAATATTTCAACATGCAATAAAAAAGTTTTTAACAAGTAGACACGTACTATTTAAATTATCAACAAGACAGCAAAATCAATAATTCAACATTTTTCAAACAATATGTATCATTGTAAAACAAATATTTAAGCATATTATAAATTACTAGACTTCATCATAACAATAAACAATTCAACATGATTCTAAAATTAAAAAGTTTAACTCACTAACCGTGTGCTCATTATCTGATGTAGTGATATCCAGAAGTCCGAACTTGACCAACTTCAAGAAATACATATAAGAAAAATATTTTCAGTAATACTAACTTAGTTTCAAAATATAAAAAAATGAAATTCAAGAACTTCATTCTAAAAATAATATTATAGCAAATCCATCCTAAAAAATATGATAATTACAATATCATAAAATAATAAACTACAATAAAATCACTAAATATTCTTCAAAGTCTTAATTATTGTTAGTAAACATTAACTTAGTTTCAAAATAATAAAAAATGAAATTAAAGAACTTCATTCTACAAATAATATTATAACAAATCCTACTAAAAATATGGTAATTACAATATTCATAAAATAATAAATTACAATAAAAACACTACATATTCGTAAAATATGGCAATTAACTTAGTTTCAAAATATGAAAAATTAAAATTCAATAAATTCATTTTAAAAATAATATTAGAACAAATTCATCTAAACAATATGATAATTAAAATATTCATAAAATAATGAATTGTAATAAAATCACTAAATATTCTTAAAAATCTAAATTATTCATCAATCTATAATAAAAAAATCTAAAATAATAACCAAAAATCTAAATTAATATCTATTTAAAAAATCTAATGACTTCAAAAATTTAAATTAACAGAAAATTAAAAATAAAATAAAAAACGGCGACGTCCCGGCAGGACGTTCGTCCGTCGCCTGCAACGTCTCGATAGGACTTCCGGCCATCATCGGCGACGTCCCGACAGGACGTCCGACCATCGCCGGTGACAGACGGCAAAATCTGTCGTCGGGTAATTTGCCGGCGTACCTCGTCGGAGAAAGGGGTCTGTCGTTGTCAGGTAATCTGTCGTTGTCGCCGGCGGGAGGTGGCGGTCGCCGGGGGGAGGTGTCTGTCGCCGGTGGCGAGTATTAGGGCTAGTAATCGGTCGGTATCCGGTATACCGGATACCGATTATCCGGTATACCGGAACTAGACAGTGTACCCACCGAATACCGATACCGAATGTAACCGGTATACCGAATACCGAATAGTCGGTCTCCGGTATTAATACCGGTATACCGAATACCGGTTAGATGCTACTATGCTGCTGCCTGCTGGTGAAGAGAAGAGGGAGGAAGACAGGGCTCTGCCGTCTTCTCAGTTACTTCAGTAGCTCGCCCTTGTCGTTTCCAATTCTCGAGAATGGCGGTCATAGTGTTCAACCCTTCCTCCGGCGGACTGCTCCCCACTCCAACGCCAACATCGATGGTGTTCAAACCTTCCTGCGGCGGACTGCTCCCCAGTCCACCGCCATCGAAGCGCCTCCCACTACCGCTACATCCCCAACTTCCTTGTAGTTACACCACTCCCATCTGCAGCTGCGGCGGCGGCCATAACCGGAAATCATGCAGTCAGAAAAGCTCCAGCTAGGGGAGCTCTCTCGCATCGTTGGCTTCAAGAAGCGGCGGTCGGCGGCTGCTGCCTGTTGAAGAGAAGAGGAAGACGAGGTGTGGATCTCGACTGCTGGGTCTCGCCTTTCGGGATGGAGTGAAGGGAAGAGGAGGCTGCTGGAGGCGCGACGGCGGGGAGCGCTACTGGCGGCTGCTCAGAGGAAGACGAGAGGGAGGGAGGCTGCTGGGTCTCCAATTTTTTAGGGTTGCCCCGTGTTTTACTTTTTTTTTTTATAATCGGTATGCCGGTATACCGTCGGTAACTACCGACTCTTATCCGCTATTACCGAATGTACAAGGAGCAAGAAAACTGTTGGTTCCGGTGAAGCTCGTGGACTTCCTTGAGATGTATTTTGAGTTGATTTTTATCTCTATGTACTTGGAACTATTCCCTTTAATCTATCCTATTTCGTTGAGTGTTGATCAAATTGTTATTATGACGATTCCTCTTCACTTGATATAATCCCAATTCGTTCAATCAACAATACACAATTAAATGCAACGTAAGAGTTACAACTAGCTTGACGAATGATAATCGAAAATTATGTCGCATTAGCTGAGTCCGGCACATCAGCACCCGGATTTTGCGGACCAATCGGTCCTGGACACCTTCGTTTATCATGTCCTGGAACTTTGCATATTGAACATCGTCTTGGGCCTCGTGGTGGTCTTCCACTTTGATCCATTTCATTCTGAATTCTCTTTTTCCTCGGGCGACCCGGTTCACGCCTCTGTCCGAATGGCGGGACGATCAATTTCCCTTCGTACAGCGGCCAATAAGCTTCATCAGGCAATGCACGGAAACTCCGTCCATAGGTGTTTTTGAGTGAGTCGATATTGAAGAATGAACTAACGAAGTGACGGGGGTCTTTGCTCCTGTTTTTAATTACGGCCATTGCATGAGAACAAGGCCACCCTCTCCCCTGATACTTCTGGCATGAACACTCACCAACTTTGGTCCTGAAATTGACCAAAACTTCATGACGGTGGCCCCCCCGTCTACCATCCTCCCGATGTCCGGTCGTCACGCTATACTCACCAGTTGCCCGATTCATAACGGTTACAATATGTCGACTGCTCTTGCGATTGTCATTATCCATTATTTCAGTGACTTTATAGGCATGGACCTTTCCCTGTGCCTGACTCACTCCTACTGTCACTCTAGAAAATGGCCAAGTGTAACCACTTCCTAAAGCGTAGTATAGCGGGTTTGGGTTTTATTGTCAACCCGGGTCCTAGATGTGATGACTACTCGGTGAATTCTTGTTATTTAGCGGTGAACTTTTAGTGCAACTCAAGCAAACAAAACACAAAGCAAGTAAACGGTTGTTGTCAAGTCAAGAGAGGTCACCCGGATATGGTTCCCCCTAGACTGCAGTTAAGTCGGATTGCAATTTGCCAAGTTCAGTTTTCATGAAAGTTATACTGCGGAAGGTTCTCAATTAGCCTGAAGTCTCGACTAAAGGTCTCCAGACCCTCTCAATCTGAGTCTCTAGCGGGCGACTAACCTCCACCGGAGTAAACAGATTGAGGCCCTAATGCACCAAACCTCCACTACCGAATTGACTTCGGTACAGAATAGCGAATTGGCTCCTCGACTAAAGTCACCAATTCGCCACCTTCGATTAAGGGTACTCTATCAACCTAGGCAGATATTCTCATTCTAAGTCAAAGCAGAAACAACAGGAATTTGATCAGGATTCAAGTCATTCAATCATTCAAACCTCAATCGAATATAATCAATTCACAAACTCTGTACTTGGGTTCATACAATCAGACCTAGCATACAAATCTAGGGTTCCCCATACCCAGATGAATGGGGGAAACTACTCCATAGAGGAAGAAGCAAAAGCAGATTCAGACGCGGAAATCATATTGTGAAGATGGATTTCTGCTCCTGGATGTTTAATCGCACTTCTCCAAGCTCAAGCCGGGCTCCAATGGTGTTTGAGATCGATCTATGGCGCTAGGGAACTCTGGTTCGTCGCTTTCTCTCTCTAGGTATCGCTTTCTCTCTCAAAAACTCGGAACCCTTCAATGTTGGCCTTCTTTCTCCTTAAATTGACTGCCTGGTCGCGATACCCGGTCGAAATACCCGGTCGGGTATTTTGGGTTTCGACCGGGTATTTTCGCAGCGCACCGTTTCGCTTAAGGGAAGAATCCCCGGTCACTCGCCATAATCCCCGACCGGGGATTTTGCTGTTTTGCCCGGGCCCCTCTCTGCTTCTCGGGCGCCCAAAAGTGATGAATACCCGGTCGGGTATTTGGCCACCTGACCGGGTATTTTCCTCCTGCAGCCCGCTTTGTCCCAACTTTGCTCCTTTCGACCCAGAACTCGTTTCTCCGCCTCGATTCCAACGCCGGGACCTGAAATATGACATAAACACACAACCTAGCATGAAATCGGCTTAAAACACGAGATTCCTCATCACAAACAGCTTCAGAATAGGGGTGAAAACATGTATAATTAACGGTCTATCAGTGCCTCGTTCGTCCTTGCCCAGTGGAGTCGGTTCACGAACCATGCATTCGTTTTCCAAAAAGTCATCTCCACAATGGCAGAGATTGGCAGTGCACGAACGGCCTTGTAGACAGAGTTGATACTCTCACTTGAGTTGGTTGTGGCAATACCCCATCTTTTCCCTCCATCTTTATGAAATGTCCACATGGATAGATCGTGTCCATCCAGCCACTGTGCCCCTTCAGGGCATAACTCGCGCATCTTCTGCAACTTCTCCTGAAACTTTTTCTCCTGGTATGCAACCGCTGAATAACACACAGAAAAGTAGTATGTTAGTCAATGATCCTCAGTTTAGTACAATTTCAAACGACACGGTCAGACTCTCATTAGACTCTTAGGAGAGGTATACATCTCCTTAGAAACACAGCCTGTTTGACAGAAAAAGGGGG